GTGCTTTGCAATGCTTTTCGCTAATGTGCGTTGCTTTGCATTGCGTTGCGTTGCTTTGCATTGCTATCGCGTTGCTTGTGGTTGTTTTGCATTGCTTTGGATCGCATCGCGTTGCTTTGCATTGCTATCGCATTGCTTTGCATTGCTTGGCGTTGCGTTGCTACTCGTTGCTTCACATTGCTATCCCATTGCATTGTTTTGCGCCACTTTGCATTGCATCGCATTGCTTAGCATTGCATCGCATTGCTTTGCATTGCATCGCGTTGCAATCGCATTGCTGTGCGTTGCAATCGCATTGCTTCGCATTAATGCGTTGTTTTGCCTTACTTTGTGTTGCTTTGCATTGCAATCGCATTGCTTCGAATTGCATAGCTTTGCATTTCTTGCATTGCATTGCGTTGCGTTGCTTTGCATTGCAATCGCTTCACAAGGCTTTGCATTGTGTTGCATTGCTTTGCGTTGCCTTGCATTGTTTCGTACTGCTTTGCATTGCGTTGAATTGCTTTGCATTTCTTTTCCTTGCTTCTCATTGCTTCGCACTGCTTTGCACCACATATATTCCACCACATGTATTGCACTGTTTCAATTGTACCGCATTGATTGCATCACTGTTTGGGGTCCATGCTGGCTAATACCTTTAACAGGGGAGGAGGAGAAAGGATAGAGAATAGGCGAGAGAGGATATAAGCAGGCTAGATGCGCTCGCTCAATATCTGACGTCCCTGTTTCTCTTCATCATTCATTTCTTTACTCCGTAGCCATTCTGGCTCAAGGAGGCTCCAACAGTTGCCGCCGTGTCTTGGCAAGGGCTGTCGTTTCGCATTCGCTAGTAGGCAACATGGGTATCGACATTGAAGCCGGCGGCCGTGTCAAGACCAAAAAGCGTATCACCACAACTGGCAATCCGTACATCCGGCTCCTGTGCAAGCTGTACAAGTTCTTGTCCCGCCGTACGGACTCGAAGTTCAACAAGGTCATTTTCAAGCGGCTCAACATGACAAAGAAGAACAAGCCACCCCTCTCCATCTCCAAGCTGGCCAAGCTGATGGAAGGCAAGGACGGGAAGGTTGCCGTCCTGGTGGGCACGATCACGGACGACAAGCGGCTCTACGAGGTGCCGAAGCTCACGGTTTGCGCCCTGCGCTACACGGAGACTGCCCGCGCGCGCATCCTCAAGGCCGGGGGCGAGTGCATCACCTTCGACCAGCTCGCCCTCCGTGCGCCGATGGGCCAGGGCACAGTGCTGCTGCGCGGCCCCGTCAAGTCTCGCGAGGCCGAGCGCTACTTCGGCCGGGCACCGGGCGTGCCCCACAGCTCCACGAAGCCCCGCGTGCGCTCCAAGGGCCGCAAGTTCGAGCAGGCGCGCGGCAAGCGCGCGTCGCGAGGCTACAAGGTGTGAGGAGCAAGACCTGTGCAGCGCGGCGCCAGAAGGACCAGGTGGCAGCCTCATCATCATTTTCTCTCCTCCTCTCCTCCTCTTCTCCTACTCCTCCTCCTCCTCCTCCCCCCCTCCTCCCTCTCCTTCTCCCTCTCTCTCCTCTTCCTGTCTCTTCGTCTCTGCTCCTCCTCCTCCTCCTCCTCCATCTCATCTTCCTCTAAAAGACAAAGCGTCACAACTATAAATGATACCAGAGAAAAAACCCAATCATAATATTTTTAGGGCTGTAGGGCTATAGGGCTACAGGGCTATATGGGCTCTTGGGCGCTATATGGGCTATATGGCTATATGGCTATATGGGTTAGGGGCTATAGGGCTATAGGGGATATAGGGCGATAGGGATATAGGGCTATAAGGCTATAGGTCTACAGGGCACCGGGCACCCGGGCACCCGGCACCGGGCACCCGGGCACCCACCCGGGCACCGGGCACCCGTCACCCAGGCACCCGGGCATCTGGGCACCCGGGCACCCGGGCCTGGCCACCGACTCGGCGGCGAACCCGGGCACCCACCCGGGCACCCGGGCACCCGGGCCCGGCCACCGAATCGGCGGCGAACCCGGGCACCCGGGCACCTGGGCACCCAGGCACCCGGGCCCGGCCACCGAATCGGCGGCACACCTCACCTACCCTTAAATCCGCTAGGACCCCTACAGAGGCAAGCTCTGATTGGGGAACTATCGGAGGTCCTTTCAGATTTCTTGGATCGGCCCTGGCCCCGCCTGGCGGCGCCTGCGGCGACGCACCTGGGGCGCTCCGCGCGCCAGGGGAGGGGGGATCCAGCGCTGATCCAGGAAATCCGCGCGGACCTTTACTTTAACTTTTTATGCTTACGCTTATGCTTATGCTTATGTTGTTTTTTGCTTCTCTCCGTGGAAGTCGGTGCCCCGTGCTACGATCAGGAATGTCCACTTAGCGTGTCGCGCCGCTGGTTCTGACCTGCCACGCTTCGGCTTGACACGGTGAGCACGTCCCTTTCGCCGCGCATCACTGCTTCGAGCCTTTCCAAGCCTCCCGTCCCAGGAAGCGGAGCGATGCGTCATCAGCTTGCAGGGCACAGCGCGTCGCAGGGGCCGCCGCAGCGACGCGCTGAGCAGAAGTTCCTCACCGTGCTCGTCCGCGAGGGGGTCCTCCAGGGAGCGCGAGAGCCTGCACTGCGAGCGGTGGAAGGGCAGTCGGCGCAGGCGGCAGCCGAGCGCCTCGGCCTGCTAATGACGGGCGGCCAGGAGACAACAGCGGTGCTTCACTCTCTCCTGCGGGGTCAGCGCTGGCGGGAGCGGAAGAGTCCACCCAGACCAATCGCAGGGGCTCAGACGAGGACAAGGCACCAATGCCGCTGCTCGTCCTGGAGAGTCCTCGTCTCCACGGCCGGATGCCCAGGGGAGGCGGAGGAGGCGGAGGAGGCGGAGGAGGCGGAGGAGGAGGAAGAGGAGGAGGAGGCGGAGGAGGAGGAGGCGGAGGAGGCGGAGGAGGAGGAGGAGGAGGCGGAGGAGAAGCAGCGGCATGTCGGTGCCTTTTTGCCCCCCCCTCCCCCCCCCCACGGGCGCGAGGGCCATGTCGCTTCCGCTCCGCGCGGCCCGCGGCACGGGCGAGAGGGTCCTGCTTCTCCAGGGGGGTGGCGCGCGAGGGGTGCGGAGGTGGCCGCGCTTTCTGTGGTCCGCCCGTCACGGGGCGCGGGGTGGCGCGGGGTGAGCCCAGGAGAGCCCGAGTCCCCGACTCGCGCTCGGGCATGCCTCCTCCTCCTCCTCCTCCTCCTCCTCCTCTTTCTCCTCCTCCTCCTCCTCGGGCACGGGAAGTTGCGCTGCATCTTCGGGGGACCTCGTCAGTCCCCAAGAAATTCAGCCGCGCGCAGTGGGGGTGGGGTGAGGGGGGAAGGCTTCTCAGAAGGAGGCCGCTTCCTAATTGGAAGGCGCGGGCCTTGTCTGTAGATGTATGCCCCGTGCCTTCCAAGAAGCAGCCTCCTTCTAAGAGAATCCCCCCCCCTCCCCCTACCCTCTTCTGCGCGCCGACAAACATTGATGTCTTTTCTTGTGCCCGATGCGAGCTTGATGCGGACTCGACGCGCATTTGGGGTGGATTCGGCGCGGATTCGACGAATCCGACGTGGATTCGACACGGATTCGACGCGGGTGGGGGCGCGACGGGACAGACAAGGCCCTTGAAGACGCAACACACGGACAAGCACCTCTCTTCCCATCCCTCGCCCGTCCCTAGCACGCGCTCGGGCACGCCTGCCTGGATCGCGTGCGCGCCCGAGCGTGCCCGTGGGGGCTCACGCGAATCTTCATTTGCCGGTTCCCTCAGACTGCCAGTCTCCGCAATCATCTCCAGTACGTGACGCGTCGGGTGGAGCCTGTTTCATTCCATGCTATCTGTGCTTCAGGTTGTGTTCGACAGCAATGCTTCCTGCTAGATCTGTCGAGCCCCAGAGGGCTCCGAGAGGCCTCCAAGAAAGTCTAAATGGCTCCCGCGAGACTCGATGACTTCTCTGGATGCCCCCAATACGGGGCACGACGGCCCCCTGGGGCCAACCCCGTGGCGGCTCCACAACGGGCCGCGACCACTTCAAGAGGGCCCCCATGTGCCCCCAGACGGCCATTCCCGGATGGGCCCCAAGATGTTCCCACGAGGCCCCAATCGGCGGCAAGCGAGGGGGGGAAGTGAGAAGGAGAAGGCCTTTTCAGAAGGTTCGGAAGTCCCCCAGCCTTCTGAGAAGTTTTCTAAGCCCCCCCCCCGAAGACAGAAGAAACTGTTCAGAAGGCGCGAGGGCTTCTGAGAAGTCCCGCCGCCTTCTGAGAAGGCCTTCTCACTCCCAAGAGTGATCCCAAGAGATGCCCCCTTTCTCGCCGTGTGCCTCCTCCTGCCGCTCGCCGCTCCATCGCGCACAGGGTCAGCGCGCGCGTGCCCGCTTGTCCTCGTTGCCGCTCGTCGGTTCCGTCTTTCGTCCGCCCCCTCTCGGAGGGCACCCAATGTGCACCCACGCGGATCCTGGCCAGGTCGGTCTTGGGCTGAGGATCGGTGTGTGTGTGTGTGTGTGTGTACTTGTGTGTATATATGTATATATATATATATATACACGCTCAGATCGACACACAGTTATATAGATACACACGTATATACTTACATACGTACACTTGCACCTTCTTGCCCAAGCTAGGAGGGCATATGCACCGATCCTGGGCCCAGGATGAGCCTGGCCAGGATCGGTGCCAGTGTCAAGATGGCGCCATCTCCTGCCCTCTCCCCGTCCTCGGGCCAGACCTCCCTCGCCTGGCTCACAGGTGCGCGTGAGCCTGGGCACGCGCGTGCTCCCGCGCGCGCGTAGGCGCTGGCGGAGATGCAGGCCGCCCGAGATCTCCACCACGGCCAGGGATGCGGAAGCCGGCGCTGCGGGGCACCGCGCCGACCTCGGCCACGCGTCTGGGGCCCTGGAGGGGCCCGCGGCCCTCTTCGCGTCCCCCTGCGCTCGCCTCCCTGCGAGCAGCGCCAGCGCAGTGGCGCGTTTCTGCCCGCGCGCGCGGCGCTGCTCCCCGCTCTGCCGCCCCGCCGTCGCGCCCCGCAGCTGCGTCACGCCGTTCGTGACCTGCTCGAAGATGTCGGAGCGGGCCGCTGCTCCGGCACCCGCTGCCCCAGGCCTCCCACATGGAGTCCGAGCGGACGGGGTCGGTGGCTCGCGCCGCGTCGCCGATGCATCGGCGATGCGGCTCGATGTGGATCCCGATTTTCTCCACGCCGCATCGCCGATGCAATGCATCGGCGAGGCATCGGCGACACGGCGCGAGCCACTGGCCCCATCTTCTTCGACTCCCTCTGGGCGGCCTCCGGTTGCATGGGCGACGCCGCTCTCGCTGCCCTCGGCGCTCCGCACAAGGGGGGCGCGGGGTGGGGGGTCTGCGGCTGCGTGCGGCAGGTTCGCGCCGCGCCGGCGCCTGCCGCGCCGCCGCTTCGGGGCCGAGCTCCTTCGGGCCTGTCCGGGCTTTGGACGGGGGCCCTCGCGGCCACGGGTGGGCGCGGCTCGGAGAATGGGGCAGGGACGGTGTCAGGGAGGGGCCTCCTGGCCGATGCGTTGGCCGAATGTTGCACTCGGCAGGTTGTGCGCCGGGTAGGCGCGGCGACGCGGCGGCAACCCCAGCGCGGGCGTTTTAGGCTGGATGCCGCCAGGTGCCGACGTCACCCGATCTGTCGGACAGCTGCGTTCGTTCAAGGTTGAACGATCCACGCTGTGTCAGAGAATAGCGCGCAAGTTGTCACGACGCGAAGTTGCAGTACACGATGAAGTAGAAGAGGACGACCGAGGAAGAGGACCGAGGAGGGAGCAGCTTGCTGCAAGCAAGAGGAGTCCGTGCGGTCCGCGGGTTGCCGCTCGAAGCGTACCGGCCGCGGCCTGATCGCCAAGGCTCCCGCGAGCCCCCACGGCGGCCCATGGATCGACCCGGCCGGGTCCTTTCCGATCCCATCGATCCGATTCGATGTCGGTGTTGGCCAGCCCGATCCGACTCGATTCATTAGCTTACGCCGCACCGCCGACCCCTTGGGGCGGCAGCAAGAGTGGAAGACGGAGTTCGCGGAACGCGCGCGATCGTTGGGCAATCTTGGGGTTTCGGCCTGTCTTACGTAGCGTGTGGGGTTCAGGAGGGGCCTTGTAGGGGATTGTTTTGAAGTTTTTCGTGGTCTTATGTGGGCTTCTTGGGGCCTTCACGCGGCCTGTCCCAGGCTTTCTCTTCCACCCCCTGGATAGGCTCGGGGATCGTTGAGACCCACCTGGGGGTGCGTCTGGCCAGAAGTTCGAAAGTGGACCCAGCTGTGTCGACGATGAGCTTCCTGAAGGCCCAGGGGGGGCGGAGCGCGCCCAAGAACTAGGAGTCTGATGCCTCGAGCCTCGATCCACCTCGTGTTTCTTCCTTTGCGACGGGGTAGCACCAGCCAGGGAGGTCGATCCTGATCCCGGACCCTCGGCGGTGGTCCCGAGTACCGAAAACGGTTCCCGGAGGCGGAATACGAGGAGAAGCCCTTTGGTGGTCGAAAGACCAAGACAGCCCAAGACACATATCGATCTGATGGATCCGATTCGATATCGATTTCGGCTGGGTCTGATCGATCGATTTCGGCTGGCCCGAGCCGATCGGCTGGCCCGATCGATCCGATGGTCCGATTCGATATCGATTCCATTCCGACGTTCCGACGGTCCGATGCGACCCGGTGCTTCCATTCCGCCGTTGGGCATCCTGGCGCGGCTGGTCCGATTCGATTTCGCTCCGTGCCGATGCAGCCCGATCCGACGTGTGCATTCCGAGTCGGTCCGATTTGCCGATTCGACGTTGACCGATCCTACTACTCGGGGAGGGTTGTTCTTTCTCTCCCTAGCGGGCGGCGCGAGGGTAGTTATCCGCGCGGCACGAGGCGCGAGGTGAAGTGACCCAGATCCGCCGCGCTGCTGCTGCTGCGTGTTCTCTTCCTCTGGAGACATCAAGTGGTTCGATGCTCGTTTTGGGGACCTTCCTCGGACACATCTAACGGATCTATTTGACTCCAATTCGGCTCAAGTTCGGTTCAAGTTCGACTCAAATTCGACTGGGGTTCGAGTCGCATTCGACACAGGTTCGACTCAGGTTCGACTTGAGTCGACGGACGTTGGACGCAGCTTCGACGCACGAGTGGAGCGAGTGGCTCCAAGAAGGTCCCCAGACAAATTATCTGAACGTGGCGAGTGTCGAGGAGGGATGGCGGCCATGAGATCATGCAGACTGCACCGAGCAGGTGTTCGCTCGCGCCGGCAGGGGCCGGAGAGGCGGGGCGGGGCAGCCCTCGCTCCGAGGAGGCGCGGGAAGAGCGACGCCTCTCATCAATCACCTCCTCCTCCTTCTCCCTCCGCCTCCTCCTCCTCCTCATCCTCCTCCTCCTCCTCCTCCCTCTCCTCCTCCTCCTCCTCCTCCCCCTCCTCCTCCTCCTCCTCCTCCTCCTCCTCCTCCTCCTTCTCCCTCTCCTCCTGCTCCCCCTCCTCCTCCTCCTCCTCCTTCTCCTCCTCCTCCTCCTCCTTCTCCTCCTCCTGCTCCCCCTTCTCCTCCGTCTCTTCTCCTCCTCCTCCTCCTCTCCTCCTCCCTCTGCTCTCCTCCTCCTCCTGCTCCCCCCTCCTCCTCCCTCCTCCTCTCTCCTCCTCCCCTCCTCCTCCTCCTCCCTCCTCCTCCTCCTCCTCCCTCCTCTCCTCATCATCATCATCACCATCATCACCATCATCATCACCATCATCAGCATCAGCATCAGCATCAGCATCATCATCATCATCATCATCATCATCATCATCATCATCATCATCATCATCATCATCATCATCATCATCATCATCATCTCATCATCATCATCATCATCATCATCATCATCATCATCATCAGCATCATCATCATCCTCATCCTCATCCTCATCCTCATCATCATCATCGTCACTCATCATCATCATCATCCACCACCACCACCTCATCATCATCATCATCATCAGCATTATCATCATCACCATCATCAGCATCATCATCATCATCATCACCATTATCATCACCACCACCACCATCATCACCATCATCATCATCATCATCATCATCATCATCATCATCATCATCATCATCAGCATCAGCATCAGCATCAGCATCATCATCATCATCATCATCATCATCATCCTCTATTTCTCCTTCCTCTCCTGCTCCCCCTTCTCCTCCTCCGCCTCCTCCTCCGCCTCCTCCTCCTCCCCCTCCCTCTCCTTCTGCTCCGCCTCCGCCTCCTCCTCCGCCTCCTCCTCCTCCTCCTCCCTCTCCTCCTGCTCCCCCTTCTCCTCCTCTTCCTGCTCCCCCTTCTCCTCCTCCTCTCCTCTCCTCCTCCGCCTCCTCCTCCTCCTCCCTCTCCTCCCGCTCCTGCTCCTGCTCCTGCTCCTGCTCCTCTTCCTCCTCCTCCTCGTCCTCCTCCTAGTTGAAGCACGGGTAGAAGCAGGGATGCGAGGCTTATCAGTTCCCAACGTGATCGTTTGAGAGGGGGATTGTAGCAATTTGGGTCTGGGGCCGATTGTAGCAATTTTGGTCTCTGCAGGATCGTGCGTTCCAGAAGGAGGGATACAAGACGGTCAGAGCTAAGTCCTGAATCGTTTTGGCTTAAGCCTTCAAATCTTGCCCTGGCGGCTCGGCTGGACCACAGGTGCAAGCAGAGTTCTGCGAGGTACAAACAGATCAAGGTCGATTCCCAACTCTCTTCTCTTCTCGTCCTTCGACGACTGCGGCAGTGGTGACAGCTGCTACAGTCAGGATTTGACTCTGGCAGCCGAGTGCAAGCTCCAGCGGACCATATCATCGAGCCCAATGGCGTGGCTCTGTGGTGCTCCGACCACACCATCGAGCCCAACGGCGTTGCCAAGAGCTCGGCGCCGGAAAACGGCGGCAAGTACTCACACAAGCCTTTCTTCACGATCGGCTTGGTGGTCTTGCTTGGGATCAGCACGGCGTACCACATCAATGAAACGGCACACGAGCTCGAAGAGCTTCACGAGTGCGAGGGTGCGCGCAGTATGTGCGCTCAGCGCGGAGTGTGCATTGGCGAGAGTCGCCTTCAGCTCCTCTTGGAGACCGCTGCGGCGGTCTTGCCCCCCACGACTTGCCGGCCGCCGAGCTGGCGCAGCAGTCCACCAGCAAAGTGCCTCCGTTTTGAGCGTCCTACTTGGAGACGCGCGTGCACCCATTCCGCGCCTGGGCCAAAATCGTCGCGCTGTGGTGTCCGTCCACGGGGCTGCACGTCGCCCAGCGCGGCCCCGCGATCGTCCAGAGGCTCGGCGGCGCGGCGCGAGACCTCTGCCGAGAGGTGCCCGTGGAGACGGTCACGCACGGCCCCTGGGTCATCGACGGCCAGCAATTCGAGGACAGCGTGACGACCGTGATCGACGGCCTGAGCCGTCGGTTTGGATAGATGGAGATTGAGACGTCGCTCGTGCCGGTCATCGAGCTGGTCAATTTCCAGCGCCAGGACGGCGAGTTGGTCGACGACGCCGTGACCCGGTTCGAGGCATGACGAGCCCGCGCGAGCAACGGCGACGTCTACACTAACCTGGAGATGCCAATCCGTGTGATCGGCTGGTTCTTCTTGACAGCTATGCGGTGCATTGCGCTGTCTGGTCTTGCGTCCTGCAGGCGAATGCCGGCAGCCTGCTGATCAACGACGAGCAGCTCTCCGCCGTGACGGCCTTGGCGAGGCAGCAGGGGCACATCGCGGAGCACGCGCTCAGTTCGACTAACAGTGGTCCTCGCGACGTCTATGAAGGCCTTCAAGGAAAATAGCGAGGAGGTTACCACTACGGTGAGACGTCGGACCAGAACTCACAGGTTCGCAGAGCGCATGGAACGATATGGTCAGGTACATGTTTGGCGTGCCAGGCGGGGGGGTTGTAACAACTCCGGCCCGTGGGGGGTTTTCATGCCATCAGGTGTGTGTAACGCAAGACGACAGGCTGGAGTTGCTGTGCCCATTGCGGCTCGTATCTCTACGAAGAAGGCGGCGATAGCGAAGACCCCGACGCAGACAACGAGGTCGACGCTCCACAGATGACCACCCATATATATTTATATATATAA